GAAATCTGAGATGGGATCCATGTATGAGAGCAAAGTATGGACTTGTGTTGACTTTCCCGATAATCGGCAAGCAATAGAAAATAAATGGATCTTCGAGAGGAAGGCGGACGCTGATAGTAGTGTTACTATCTACAAAGATAGACTTGTCGAAAAAGGTTTTTGACAAGTTCAAGGTGTTGAGTACAATGAGATTTTCTCACTCGTAGCGATGCTTAAGTCTGTCCGAATCATGTTAGCAATTGCCACATTTTTACGAAATCTGGCAAATGGATGTCAAAACTACATTCATTAATGGATTTCTTAAAGAATATTTGTATATGATGCAACCAAAAAGGTTTTGTCAATCCTAAAGGTGCTAACAAAATGTGCAAGCTCCAGCGATCCATCTATGGACTGGTGCAAGCTTCTCGGAGTTGGAATATACGCTTTGATGAGTTGATCAAATCATATAGTTTTATATAGACTTGCGGTGAAGCCTGTATTTACAAGAAAGTGAGTGGGAGCGCTACAGCTTTTCTGATAAGTATATGTGTATGACATATTGTTGATCAGGAAATGATGTAGAATTTTTTTGGAAAGCATAAATGAGTGTTTGAAAGGAGTTTTTTCAAAGAAAGACCTCGGTGAAGCTGCTTACATATTGAGCATCAAGATCTATAGAGATAGATCAAGACGCTTGATAAGTTTTTTCAATGAGTACATACCTTGACAAGGTTTTGAAGTAGTCCAAAATGGAACAGTCAAAGAAGGAGTTCTTGCCTGTGTTGCAAGGTATGAATTTGAGTAAGACTCAAAGCCCGACCACGGCAGAAGATAGAGAGAGAATGAAAGTCATTCCCTATGCCTCAGCCATAGGTTCTACAAAGTATGCCATGCTGTGTACCAGACCTATTGTATACCCTGCCCTGAGTTTGGCAAGGGAGTACAATAGTGATCTAGGAGTATAGGACATTGGTCAAAAATTATCCTTAGAGGACTAAGGAAATATTTCTCGGTTATGGAGGTGATAAAGAGTTCATCGTAAAGAGTTACGTCGATGCAAGCTTTGACGCCGATCTGGATGACTCTGAGTCTCGATCTGGATACATATTGAAAGTGGGAGCATTTAGCTAGAGTAGCTCCGTGCAGAGCATTGTAGACATAGAAATTTGCAAAATACATACAGATCTGAATGTGGCAGACACGTTGACTAAACTTCTCTCACAAGCAAAACATGATCACACCTTAGTACTCTTTGGGTGTTAATCACATGGCGATGTGCACTAGATTATTGACTCTAGTAAACCCTTTGGGTATTGGTCACATGGCGATGTGAACTATAGAGTGTTAAATCACATGATGATGTGAACTATTGGTGTTAAATCACATGGCGATGTGAACTAGATTATTGACTCTAGTGCAAGTGGGAGACTGAAACAAATATGCTCTAGAGGCAATAATAAAGTTATTATTTATTTCCTTATATCATGATAAATGTTTATTATTCATGCTAGAATTGTATTAACCGGAAACTTAGTACATGTGTGAATATATAGACAAAAACAGAGTGTCCCTAGTATGCCTCTACTTGACTAGCTTGTTTGTCAAAGATGGTTATTATGTTTCCTGACCATAGACATGTTTTGTCATTTGATGAACAGGATCACATCACTAGAGAATGATGTGATGGACAAGACCCATCCGTTAGCTATTGCTTTCTTCATGACTTATACATGTTCCTCTGACTATGAGATTATGCAACTCCCGAATACCGGAGGAACACCTTGTGTGCTATCAAATGTCACAACGTAGCTAGGTGATTATAAAGATGCTCTACAGGTGTCTCCGAAGGCGTTTGTTGGGTTGGCATAGACCGAGATTAGGATTTGTCACTCCATGTATCGGAGAGGTATCTCTGGGCCCTCTCGGTATTGCACATCATTATAAGCCTTGCGAGCAATGTGACTAATGAGTTAGTTGCGGGATGATGCATTACGGAATGAGTAAAGATACTTGCTGGTAACGAGATTGAACTAGGTATGATGATACTGATGACAAAGGGAACAACGTATGTTGTTATGCGGTATGCACCGATAAAGATCTTTGTAGAATATGTAGGAACCAATATGAGCATCCAGGTTCCGCTATTGGTTATTCACCGGAGATGTGTCTTGGTCATGTCTACATAGTTCTCGAACCCGTAGGGTCCGCACGCTTAACGTTCGATGACGATTTGTACTATGAGTTATGTGATTTGATGACCAAAGTTTGTTCGGAGACCCGGATGGGATCATGGACATGACGAGGAGTCTCGAAATGGTCGAGAGGTAAAGATTCATATATTTGAAGGCTATACTCGGACACCGGAAGTGTTCCGGGTGATACCGGGTCACCAGAAGGGGTTCCAGGCAACCCCTGGCAAAGATATGGGCTTTATGGGCCAAGTAAGGGAACACACCAGCCCACAAGGGGCTCGTGCGCCCCCTATAGGGCCAGCCACATGGGGAGAAAGGGAAAGGAGAGGAGGAAAAGGAAAGTATGAAGTAGTACTCCTTCCTTCTCCTCCCCCCTCCTTCCTTTCCCCCTTGTCCAAATATGGTAGGAGGGGGGCCGAATTGGATTAGGGGCCCAAGTAGGATTCCTCCTACTTGGGCGCGCCCTTGGCTTCCTCCCTCCCTCTCCCTCCTTTATATACATGGGGAGGGCACCCCTAGAAGACACATCAATTGTTCCTAGCCGTGTGCGGCGCCCCCCTCCACAGTTAACACCTCGGTCATATCGTCGTAGTGCTTAGGTGAAGCCCTGCGCCGGTAACTTCATCATCACCATTGCCACGCTGTCGTGCTGACGAAACTCTCCCTCGGCCTCAACTGAATCAAGAGTACGAGGGGCGTCATCAAGCTGAACGTGTGCTGAACACGGAGGTGCCATACGTTCGGTGCCAGGATTGGTTGGATCGTGAAGACGTACGACTACATCAACCGCGTTGATAAAACGCTTCCGCTTTCGGTCTACGAGGGTACGTGGACACACTCTCCCCGCTCATTGCTATGCATCTCCTAGATAGATCTTGCATGATCGTAGGATTTTTTTTTTGTAATTACTGCGTTCCCCAACAGCGGGCCGTGGCCGCCGGGCAAATTCATCATCCCCACGCGAGACGCCTGTGCCTGCTCCACCGCCGACGCCGACGCGGCCGCGTCCCGGGCCTTCTTGGCGTTGAGCTTGTTTCGCCGGTCGGTGGTGATAGCCTCCCAGCGCTGAACCTCCACCCTCCACTCGGCGTTCGACATGCCTGGTGGTTTTGCCATTGGCGCCCTCGGCTTCCTCTACTTCGGCTGGGTGGAATCGGAAGCGGCATCGGTGCGAGGGGCCGAATACTTGTTCGGCGGCATGTCGGGACGGCGGCCGGATGGCGGGCAGAGGGAGGAGAATGGCGGGAGAAGAGGGGCAGAAGGGGGGAAGCAATGGGAAAATGGAGGGAAAAGGGCAGGGTCGGCGGGAAAAGGCATGTCTCTCGCCGATAGAGCGGACCCACGCGCCTTTTCGCTTCGGCCGGCGCCCCCCGGGGGCCTGGGTTCGGCTCAGGTTTGTCGACTGTTATTTCGGCCCAAACCGGCGATAAACAAGGTCCTGGGGTGCGACTGAGCCGATTTTTCGGCGCGGGCGCTAAAAAAAGAGCCCTGGGGGCATGTTGGGGGGGGGGGGCGAGTGGAGGTGCTCGGCAGCCAAGGAGACAGAGATGACAAGCAAATTGGTGGCTCTCTCGATGGTAGCATGGAGCTGTGATTGCAAGATAATGGTGCTAGGCCTTGAATTTCAGAATGATTGGAGCATCCAGAAAGCATCTGATCTTACTGTCGATGACCCTTTTCACTAATAAACTGAGGTTGACTATACACTTCCATGATCCAAAGATTGTTTTTTTCTTTTTTTGTAGAGAATGATTTACTGTTCTACATATGGAAGGGCACTGTTTAGTTTGTATGCAAGTATGTCTGTTCTTGACAAAGAACATGAAGACTTCAACTAGAGCATGAGTGCCTGAAAGTGTTTAAGCTAACTGTACTATGCTTCATTCGGAACTTGGCATGGTTTTTTTTCCAGTGGGTTCAGTGGACAAATCAACCTGACAGATACTCAGTTCTGTCAACGTACGCCGGAGCAGCTACGCTCTTTCGCATCAAAGTCTCAACGGAAATGGGTTTCCTCTTGTGCTTGCCTGGACGAGGTTCTGGTTGCTCATCAGCATCAGTGAAGTCGACCTGCAAAAGTTTGATGGAAAGCTGTGACCATCCTAGTGAAAATAGACGTTCCTTATATCAGAGGCATGGCTACATAGGTAAACTATGTCACATGGTCATCTGGGAGTGGTTCTTTTGTGATAACTCCAGCTCTAAAATCTGTTTGCCAATAGTTTCAAGACGAATTCCTTTTGTTCAGGGAAAAACCCATGTGCAGTCTTGGATCAGCTTGTCAACATGGATCTCATAATTGTTGAGAAACACGGAACATAAAACAAATGACTGCTACATACGTGATGCCGAGACGTTGTGGCTGAACTTGAGTATTGCTAAAAAAATGCCAACTTGCTCTATTGAAAACATAATGTTCTTTTTCAATAACCTTCTTTATGAGTTTCTTGTCAAAAACTGCAATGTCATCGGCTTGAACTGTACTCATGATTCTTGGTTGCAAGTTATCACCAACACAAAGCTACAGATATCTTCAAGTACTAGGTACCCAAGTCCACCAGACACCCCTTGAAACTCCTGGATTACCTTGTCATTTTCCTTCCCTCAGAGCTTTGGAAGATCTTGCAAGCTAGGACACAAACATCAAAATCCTCTGCAGTTGGAAATGCTTCTGGATATCAGGGTCGTTGTAGGTGAGTGTGCCAAGGTGGTCATGCCTAACCCACTCATTCCAACATTGAGAAAGACGATGAGACAGTTAGTGACAGGTTGACCAGTTAAGAAGAGTTTGTCGAATGTCACGCTTCTCTTAATCTCTTGATTGGCCTATAATGTTCTCTGGGTCAACAATGACAGAATCTGTTTACCGCCACTGCTTGGGTGCCGGCCCTTGTTCCCATATTTAAACACAAAGGCATTCATGCTATGGAATATAAAACGGCTGTGATTGGAAAGAGCTTTTATCACATCAAAGCCGGCCTCGAAGTAGTGTCCACAAAAACCACGTACTTGAACTCGTCGAAGACTGACTTCATTCTCCTTGTAAGCCACCATGAAATCCTTGAGCTAGGCCTTGATCCCTTCTCTGTGGGCTGCTGCCTTCTCGGCCTCGGTGATGACTCCAGGATGACTGGGAGCAGCTTCACTTCAGGATCTTGTGCTGTGTCCCCATGCCCTTCATCACCTCGTACCAGTCTAGGATGTAGCTGGAAACCTTCTCCTTCACCATGGCCACCAGCAGCCCAACCACCATGGTTTGCAGGAAGAATGGAATGTTGTCTGGACATGATGTTGTCTGCGTGTCACAGACTGCCTGCATGTGCAGATGAAAGTAAATTTGCTCAGAAAGTATAAGAAATAACCTCATGGTACATGTAAAATTTCTTCGATTGCAGTTCATATAAATATCCTGAGAGGTTTAGGCTTTCGATGAATAGTTGCCCATTTCAAAAGCATCCCTGTTCAATAAGAACGGTGCCATCCCCTTCCTTACCAATCATTTTCTGTCATACCCTCACCATCATCAGTGGTGATGACAGACCACGAGTCGCCTGTCCCCGAAGATCCAGCTGGTGGACTGGCGGCCAAAGCCGGATCGAGCAGGCAGACCAAGCAAGGACTGGCGAGATTCGCAAGTCGGATGGCTCTGTAAGCTGGTGTTGTGGACCGTGAGCCCACATGTAAGAGTGTGGTTACGTGTGTGATACAAGGGGCATCTTGGTCATACCTTTACTTACATCATGAGGAGAAATAGCTGAATCTTCAATACGAAGTAAAGCAGAAAGAAATCATACTGCAAATACTTTTCTCGCATGTATGCAACAAGCTAAAACAGTGGAACTGACAACATAAAGTACATGAGACTCTGGCACGAGCTCCTGAATCTGCTAACTCAACATAGCATCGGCAACCTCAAAGGCTCAAACATCCATTCTTCCAGGCCCCGTTTGCCCTGACATATAAAACAGATTCTCAACATAGCATCAGCAACCTCAAACATCAGTGAGCATTACATAACTAAATATGTATTCATATGAAGAAAAGTGAACGTGTTAGAGATTTTACAAAATCTCAAGATTGTGTACCTTTCCCAAAATCGCCATCAGAAGTCGTTACCCCTAATATTCCATAGAAAATTACTTTGAATATGCAGTGCAAAAATCAATCAGATAAAACCCAACAAATCAAAAAAAGAATTCATAGAGGCTCCTATGTTTTCTCAATCGCTATCAGAAGTAATTACCCCTAAAATAGTAACCAGTCATGTTAGACTAATTGTCTGCCTTTCCTCACCCCATCCAAGATTAAAAGATTCATAGACATGTCACTTTCATGTGATCCGGACGCACCGCAAAATGAACTCAATTATACAAGTAGGCAGTTTGGTTTCTCATACAGTTGTTCTGGCAGGAGAGCTTTCGCAAGCAATAACATAACTGTGCTTTCTTAGGAGTTAGTCTCATAGGCAGCATATCAAATTATCAACTAGTCAACCAAATCCATCGAAAAATTGATAGTTTGCTGGGAGCAACTTAATATCCTCCAGATGTTTCCCTTTCCTTGAAAAGAGAGACAACATCAATGAGGTAGTTGACGCTTCAAGTGAGATACTCTTCCCATCAACTTTAGACAAATAATTTCCAGCCTTAGCTATCTCACCTTTTTCCAACAACATTCTGATGATATCATTTATAAGACGGGAACTGGGAACGATACCACTGTTGTCCATTGATGAAAACATATTGTCAGCATCTTCCACTGCTCCGTCTTTTAGAAGATTTCTTATCATTACTGCATAAGTAGATTCATTGAGCACCAACCCACTAGCTGGTATTGCAGCAAACAAATCCTTAGCTTCTTCTTTTCTTTGAACCTTGTACATTGCATTAATCATGGTATTGAGTGTTTCAATATTGAACTTCACATTCATTGCTCGTAATTTCTGGAACAGTGCAATCGCTTCGTCTACACAATTAGTTTGACAAAGACCTCCAAGTATTATATTGTATGTGGAAATGCGCACTGTTGCTCCACTTTCAATCATCTCATGGAACATTTTCATTGCAGCAACAGTTCTCCCAGCACGAAACAACCCACCCAACATGATGCCATATGTAACAGTGTTAGGTTTAATTCTCTTACATGGCATTTCTCTAAAAAAAGTCAAAGCATCATCAATCCTTCTGTTTTTAAAATAGCCATCAAGAAGTGCACTATAAGTAACAACATCAGGCTCAACACCAACTGATTCCATGACATCAAGTATTTTGAATGCTGTATCCATCTTCCCAACTAAGCAATATCCGTCAATCAGTGAATTAAATGTAATGACATCAGGCCTCTCACCTATGCCTATAGCCAAGTCAAAGACAGCATGTGCATCCATAACCCTTCCTTCTTTGCACAGACTGTTTATTACTGAACTGAAGAAAACAATGTTAGGACGAGGAATACCTTTGTTCATCATATCAAACATCAGCTCCTTAGCTTTAACCAAGCCACCATGCATAAGACAACCCTGAATTAGGGAGTGATAAACAGCTGTGTTTGGCTGAATTCCCATGGCAATCATCTGATTAAATTTGTCCATAGAATCAGTCAACCTACCCATCCTGGAAAGTGCAGCTATTACAGTGGAATATGTGACTACATTGGGACTCACTCCTTTTTCCCACATTTCTGTAAATATCAGCATAGCTTCATCCATCATTCCACATTTAGCATATCCATTAATTAATATGTTGAAAACATAGCAGTTGGCAGCAATACCGTTTCTTTCCATTGAATTAAAGAGATCAATCATATCAGCAAAGCATCCTTCATTGGCATACCCATGAAGCAAAATACAGTAGGAGATGACATCTCTGTGCCCTTTGGCAGTCATGGCATCAAAAAATTCTGCACCTTCTTTGCTTCTTCCATGCTTACAAAGGTAAGTCATTAAGGAGTTGCAAGTAGAAATATCTGGTATAAGGCCCCGGCTTTTCATTTCTCTAAACAATTTAACAGCCTCTTTCCACCTCCCAGATGTGGAATATCCATGGATCATGCAATTATATGTCACATTATCGGGTTGAACACCTTTGTTAACCATCTGCTGAAGCACTAGCTCTGTCTTGTCCATTGCTCTGGCCTTGCACAATGCATCAATGATTGAACTATATGTCCACACATTGGGCTCAACACCTTGATGCATCATTTCATGGAACAGATTGCATGCCTTGCCTGTTTCACCTTCCTTAAAGAAGCCATGGATGACTGTGCTATACGCCACCACGTCAGGGGGGCAGCCACCTCCTTCTTTCGCCATCATATGGAGCAGGTCGAGCGCCTGCTGGCTCATGCCATTGTCGCATAAGCTCTTGAGAACAATGTTGTATGAGAAGGTATCAGGCACACAGCCGAGCTTGGACATCCTATGAAGCAGCACGTTCACAGCCTCATCCGTCCGTTTCACGTGGCAGAGACACTTAAGGAGGGTGTTGGCGACTATCAGGTCAGCCTTCAGGCCCGTCCTGAGGAGGCGCCCGAAGAAGGCTAGCCCTAGGTCCGGGCAATGCGCACGACAGCAGCAGTTCATGAGAATGCCGTACGTGAAGATTGTGGGCGGTGCCACCCGCGCGCCGGATTCATCCCGGCAGACGAGGTTGAAGAGAGCGAGGGCGAGGGCGGGACCATCTCTGCAGGCTTCGGAGGCGAGCGCACGGGCGAGGGCGGCAAGGAAGCCGTCGAGGGAGGGCTTGGGGACCGGGGTGGCCCGCCGTAGCAATTCGTCGAACAGGTTGTGTGCGTCTTCCCAGCTGAAATTCCCGGCGCGGACGCGCTCCGTGGCCGCAGCAAAGGCGGCGTGGGGAGACCAGGCACGCGAGGGTCGCGAGGGCCGCGCGGTGGAGGAGAAGAGGCGGCGGTGGAGGTGGAGGTGGATGAGAGACATCGGCGTGGTGATGTTGTGGTACTGGTGGAGGTGGAGGTTGAGGCGGAGGCGGGGAGCCGCAGAGGTAAAGCTGGAGGAGTGGCGGAGGCCGTACTCCGGCTAGGTGCAGGAGGGGGCGGGGCGGCGACGGAGGTGGGTTCGGATGCGGCGGAGCATCGGCGTCGGGAATGGCCGTCTACTGGAGTTCGTGGACATCGGCGTGGGGAGATCAGGAGTGAGAGAGCTTTTTTTCCTTTGACGGGAGTGGAGACGAGTGTTTCGCTAATTTCAGTCAGTTGGCAAAAAGGCGACTACGCCGGCGCGCCGGCCCAATAGTTGGGCCCGTCACGTCCCAGCCATCCGATGCAGCACAGCACAGCCGTTTGATCTGGCTTCCGCATTATAGCTGGCCAAACGGGCCGGCCCGGCCCGGCACGGCACGGCCCATCCTAATTGTGCCTGGTACGGTCTGGCCCGCCAAGACACAATTATTATACGGGCCGTGCCGTGCCGGCCCGCGTGCTGCAGCCTGCAGCCCAGGCACGGCCCATATGCTAATCGGGCCGGCCCACCGGCACGCTAGACCCGCTAATCTGCCTCCTATTTCGCACACTGGGCGTTTTTAGCCTATTTTTACATGTTGAGCCACATTAGGATACATAAAAAATAAAAAAAAAGATAATCGGGTCGTGCCGTGCCGGCCCGCGTGCTCGGCCTTCAGGCCCAGGCACGACCCTTGGCGTGCCACATGCCGGGCCTGGCCCGTTTAGCACGTGACGTGTCGTGCCAGGCCCATGTCGTGCCGATCGTGCTACCGGGCCGGCCCACCTATCCAGGCCCGTTTGGCCACCTATATTTCGCATCCTTTTCTTCCCCCGTCCCTCGCCTTCCTCTTCTTCCCGAGCGACACGGCCGCCCCCAGGACCGCGTTGATTACCCCGCGCCAATTACCCCCAGCGGGACGACCGGCCTCCAAGCTCACAATGCCCCGCCATCTACAGTCGCCGCTCACCCCTCGTCGGTGCTGCCCCCGCCTGCCTCCCTGCTGATTCAATGGCGACGACGCTGTGGTTCGCATCCAAAAAGACGGTTGTAGCAAAAAAGGCACTGGTTCCAGCAAATTAAAAATACAGTGGTAGCAAATAATGCAAATTGGACTTTGTTCCAGCAAATCAAAAAATGCCGGTGGTAGCAAAAAATGAAGCTCGCTCCAGCAAACTAAAATACCGGTGGTAGCAATTACAAAATTGGGGGCTGGTTCAAGCAAACCCAAAAATCGGTGGTAGCAAAAACTTGTGATGGTTCCAGCAAAAAAATTAACGCTAGTAACAAAAATGCGAAATTGGGCGATGGATGTAGCTTTGCCAGCCGTGGATGTAGTTTTGTCAGCCATGGATGTAGCTTTGCCAGCAAATGGATGCAACACCTTCGTCGAGCGGTTCCAACACCTCACCCAGCTCTGACGACAGGGGATGCAGCTTCCCCGGCAACGGATGCAACACCTCTGCCAGCCGGTTCCAACACCTCCACCATGTCGTCACAGCGCCGCCGTCGACGGATGCATCTTCACCGGCGACGGATGTAGCATCTCCGTCATGCCGTCGTAGCACCTCTGCTGGGCGGTTCCAGCACCTCCGTCCACTCCTCATGGTGGGCGCCATCTCCAGCCTCGCGGGATACAAGCGTCCGACCTCATCGAGGGGGAGGATGAGGAGATTGACGGCCATGGCTTTCATGGCTTGCAAGCAGTCCATGGCCTCCCTTTGCAACGTCGCTTGGAAAAAATGGTGGCTGCTGGCACCCCCCGCCCCCCTCCCTGACCCGTGGTGGTGGCTGGCCGAGTGGAGTTCGTCGGAGAGGACTAGAAAGGAGAGAAAAGGGGATGGGGATTCGATGCGGGTGGAAAGAATGAATGGCTAAGAGTGTTTCCTGTAGAGATAAGGAAAAGATGAGGGATAGAGGAGCGGTGGCTGGTGGGCCAAGTCTGCCGCATGGCGAGCACCCGTGAGACCGGGGCGCGACTCGACCGGTGCCCCTGAGGCAAATATGCCCTAGAGGCAATAATAAAGTTATTATTTATTTCCTTATATCATGATAAATGTTTATTATTCATGCTAGAATTGTATTAAACGGAAACATAATACATGTGTGAATACATAGACAAACAGAGTGTCACTAGTATGCCTCTACTTGATTAGCTCATTAATCAAAGATGGTTATGTTTCCTAGCCATGGACAAAGAGTTGTCATTTGATTGACGGGATCACATCATTAGGAGAATGATGTGATTGACTTACCCATTCCGTTAGCTTAGCACTTGATCGTTTAGTATGTTGCTATTGCTTTCTTCATGACTTATACATGTTCCTATAACTATGAGATTATGCAACTCACGTTTACCGGAGGAACACTTTGTATGTTACCAAACATCACAACGTAACTGGGTGATTATAAAGGAGCTCTACAGGTGTCTCCGAAGGTACATGTTGGGTTGGCGTATTCCGAGATTAGGATTTGTCACTCCGATTGTCGGAGAGGTATCTCTGGGCCCTCTCGGTAATGCACATCACTATAAGCCTTGCAAGCAATGTAGCTAATGAGTTAGTTACGGAATGATGCATTACGTAACGAGTAAAGAGACTTGCCGGTAACGAGATTGAACTAGGTATTGAGATACCGATGATCAAATTTCGGGCAAGTAACATACCGATGACAAAGGGAACAACGTATGTTGTTATGCGGTTTGACCGATAAAGATCTTCGTAGAATATGTGGGAGCCAATATGAGCATCCAGGTTCCGCTATTGGTTATTTACCGGAGACATGTATCGGTCATGTCTACATTGTTCTCGAACCCGTAGGGTCCGCACGCTTAAGGTTTCGATGACAGTTATATTATGAGTTTATGAGTTTTGATGTACCGAAGGAGTTCGGAGTCCCGGATGAGATCGGGGACATGACGAGGAGTCTCGAAATGGTCGAGACGTAAAGATCGATATATTGGACGACTATATTCGGACTTCGGAAAGGTTCCGAGTGATTCGGGTATTTTTCGGAGTACCGGACAGTTACGGGAATTCGCCGGGGAGTATATGGGCCTTATTGGGCCATATGGGAATAGAGGAGAGAGGCCGAAAGGAAGGAGGCGTGCAGCCCCCCTCTGGTCCGAATTGGATAAGGGATGAAGCCCCCTTTTCCTTCCTCCTCTCCCCCTCTTTCCCCTTCTCCTACTCCAACAAGGAAGGAGAGAGTCGTACTCCCGGTGGGAGTAGGACTCCCCTTGGCGCGCCCCCTCCTAGGCCGGCCGCCCCCTCCCCCTTGCTCCTTTATATACGGGGACATGGGGCACCTCTAGGCAGGACAACAATTAATCTCTTGATCTCTTAGCCGTGTGCGGTGCCCCCCTCCACCATAGTCCACCTCGATAATATTGTAGCGGTGCTTAGGCGAAGCCCTGCGATGATAGAACATCAAGATTGTCACCACACCGTCGTGCTGACAGAACTCTCCCTCGACACTCGGCTGGATCGGAGTCCGGGGATCGTCATCGAGCTGAACGTGTGCAGAACTCGGAGGTGCCGTACGTTCGGTGCTTGGATCGGTCGGATCGTGAAGATGTACGACTACATCAACCGCGTTGTCATAACACTTCCGCTTCCGGTCTACGAGGGTACGTGGACATACTCTCCCCTCTCGTTGCTATGCATCACCATGATCTTGCGTGTGCGTAGGAATTTTTTTGAAATTACTACATTCCCCAACAGTGGCATCCGAGCCAGGTTTATATGCGTTGATGTTATATGCACGAGTAGAACACAAGTGAGTTGTGGGCGATACAAGTCATACTGCTTACCAGCATGTCATATTTTGGTTCAACGGTATTGTTGGATGAAGCGGCCCGGACCGACATTACGCGTATGCTTACGCGAGACTGGTTTTACCGTCGTGCTTTGCACACAGGTGACTAGCGGGTGTCTGTTTCTCCAACTTTAGTTGAACCAAGTGTGGCTACGCCCGGTCCTTGCGAAGGTTAAAACAACACTAACTTGACGAACTATCGTTGTGGTTTTGATGCGTAGGTAAGAACGGTTCTTGCTAAGCCCGTAGCATCCACATAAATATTTGCAACAACAAAATAGAGGATGTCTAACTTGTTTTTGCAGGGCATGTTGTGATGTGATATTGTCAAGACGTGATGCTATATTTTATTGTATGAGATGATCATGTTTTGTAACCGAAGTTATCGGCAACTGGCAGGAGCCATATGGTTGTCGCTTTATTGTATGAAATGCAAATGCCTTGTAATTGCTTTACTTTATCACTAAGCGGTAGTGATAGTCGTAGAAGCAATAGATGGCATAACGACAACAATGCTATGATGGAGATCAAGGTGTCGTGCCGGTGACGATGGTGACCACGACGGTGCTTCGGAGATGGAGATCACAAGCACAAGATGATGATGGCCATATCATATCACTTATATTGATTGCATGTGATGTTTATCCTTTATGCATCTTATCTTGCTTTGATTGACGGTAGCATTTTAAGATGATCTCTCACTAATTATCAAGAAGTGTTCTCCCTGAGTATGCACCGTTGCGAAAGTTCTTCGTGCTGAGACACCACGTGATGATCGGGTGTGATAGGCTCTACGTTCAAATATAACGGGTGTAAAACAGTTGCACACGCGGAATACTCAGGTTAAACTTGACGAGCCTAGCATATACAGATATGGCCTCGGAACACGGAGACCGAAAGGTCGAACGTGAATCATATAGTAGATATGATCAACATAGTGATGTTCACCATTGAAAACTACTCCATCTCACGTGATGATCAGACATGGTTTAGTTGATTTGGATCACGTGATCACTTAGATGACTAGAGAGATGTCTGTCTAAGTGGGAGTTCTTAAGTAATATGATTAATTGAACTTGAATTTATCATGAACTTAGTCCTGGTAGTATTTTGCAAATTGTGTTATAGATCAATAGCTCGCGTTGTTTCTTCCCTATGTTTTA